ACCCATTCTAGATAGTGGCCTCTAAAATACCATTTCCCACTGAGAAGAATTAGGGCTCCTTGGAGACGTGCTGATTCCACATCTGAGGCAGGAAATGTTGAAGATGAGTCTGGAACATCTTGTTATTTAGAAGGTAAGGAAGCTATCAAAGGCTTTTATAGTCATGTCAAAGAACTCAGAAGTTACTTTGAGAAGATTCCCATTGGCTAAAGGTGGGACAATTTCAACATCAATGAGAATGAGAATTGAAATGAATTAAACACATCAAATATACAGGCTGAGTATCCCTTATCCAAAATGCTTGGGACTAGAAATGTTTCGGATTTTGTATTTTTTTTGGATTTTGGAATATTTGCATATATATAATGAGATATCTTAGGGATAGGACCCAAATCTAAACACAAAAATCATGTATGTTTCATATACAGCTATATACACAGTCTGAAGGTAATTTTACACAATATTTTAAGTAATTTTGTGCATGAAACAAAGGTTGTGTAGACTGAACTATCAGAAAGCAAAGGTGTCACTATCTCAGTCACCCATCTGGACAATCTGTGGTTGTTTGACATCACCATTATTCCTGACTCTGAATTTATATGCTACTGATAAGCAAACATTTTCTTACACTGGTTCACACATAAGTGCCTAACAATAAAAAATGTGACCCACCATTATTAATCCAGTGAAAAACTAATGTGTTCAGGGTAACTAAATGGCACAGTAGCATCACCAGAACACCTGTGTCAGCTGGTAAACAACAGTGACAGCCAACATGGCTGCTTTCAGTCTCCACTGTGTCCTGTCACATGTGGTCAGGTGTTGAATTTTCCACTTGTGGAATCATGTTGGTGCTCAAAAAGTTTCAGATTTTGGAATCTGGGTTTTTGGATTAGGAATGCTCGACCACTATTGAAAATATTTGTTTTTGAGACAGGGTTTCACTCCACTGAATGCAGTGGCACAGTCTTGACCTCCTGGGCTCAAACAATCCCCACACCTCAGACTCCAGAGTATCTGAGACTACAGGCGTGCATCACCATGCCTGGCTAATTTTGATATTTTTTTGTGGAAATGGGTTTTCGCTATGTTGTTCAGGCTGGCCTTGAACTCCTGAGCTCAAGCAATCTGCCTGCCTTGGCCTCTCAAAGTGCAGGGACTATAGGCGTAAGCTACCATGCCTGGCCTGTATTTAAATTCTTAAATTCTTTAAAACCCTCACAACTCTCACTCGTAATTTTTGATGGATATGAGGGAACCAACTCATTATTTTGAAAATTGTTAAATAAAGGGAAAGAATTAAGCATGAATCCTGCCTTTCCCATATAAACTGTATTTTAGGGAAACCAAATATATGTTGAAGGGAAGTTTCTTTTTATAAAAGCATTTCAGCAAATATATGGATGACAGAATTAGAATATCACCATTTTGTAAACTTTAATATATGTAAGTAATGATAATCAATAACTGCTAACAGCACATACACCACTTGCACATACACATATACACACACACACAACCACCCCAAATGAAAAAGACCACCAACACTAAATTTTGATGGAATGTGGAGCACCTAGGACTTTCATACATTGCTGTTGGAAATGAAAAATGATACAACCACTTTGAACTGTTTGACAGTCTCTTTTGAAGTTAAATAATAATTTTCATTCCCAAGTACTTACTGAGAAGAAATTAAAATGCCCACAAAAGGGTGTGCATAAGAATGTTCAGGGCTGGGCATAGTGGCTCACACCTATAATACCAGTGCTTTGGGAGGCCAAGGTGGGAGGATCACTTGAAGAGAAGTTTGAGACCAGCTTGGACAATATAGAGAGAACCCTTCTCTACAAAAGTACTAAAAAATTCCAGCCTGGGCAACATAGTGAGACTCTGTCTGTACAAAAAAATTAAAAAATTTAGCCATGTGGGGCGTTTTGCACCTGTAGTCCCAGTTACTCTGGAGGCTGAGGTGGGAGAATCACTTGAGCCCAGGATGTCGAGGCTCAGTGAGTCAGGATGGCACCACTGCACTCTAACCTGGGCAACACAGTGAGACCTTGTCTCTAAAACAGAAAAACGAAAAGTTCACAGCAGCTTTATTCCCAAACTATTATTCTCAAACAGTTCCAAACTGGAAACACCCCAAATGTCTATGAAAAGGAGAATGGATAAACAAATTATGGTATATTCACATAATGGAATATTACTTAGCAATAAAAAAGGATGAACTAGTGCATTCATATATGCAACAACATGGAGATACATTTAAAAAACATTTTGTTAAGAAACTGGACATAAAATACTACATACTGTATTATTTCATTCATAGGAAGTCCAAGAATAGGCAAAACTATCTGCTATGGGATTTTTTTTTTTTTTTTGAGTCAGAGTCTTACTCTGTTGCCCAGGCTGGAGTGCAGGGGGGGTGCAATCTCAGCTCACTGCAACCTCCGCCTCCTGGGTTCAAGTGATTCCTGTGCCTCAGCCTCCTGAGTAGCTGGGACTAATGGTGTGTGCCACCATGCCTGGCTAATTTTTGTGTTTTTATAGAGGCGGGGTTTCCTCATGTTGGCCAGGCTGGTCTTGAACTCCTGACCTCAAGTGATCCACTCTCTTTGGCCTCCCAGAGTGCTGGAATTACAGGCATGAGCCACCGTGCCTGGCCTGCTATGGTTTAAATGCCTATGTCTCTCCAAAATTTGTGTTGAAATTTAATCTCCACTGTGGTGTTATTAAGAGGTGGGGCCATTTGGTAAGTGGGTAAGTGTTCTGCCCTTATGAATGGGATGAGTGCCCTTATAAAAGAGGCTTCAGGGAGCTGCCTGGTCCTTCTGTCTCTTCTGCCATATGGGAACACAGTGCCTCTTCCACTATGTGAGGCTGCAGCAACAAAGCACTACTCTTGGAAGCAGAGACAAGCCCTTAGCAGATACTGAATCTGCTGGTGCTTTGATCTTGGACTTCCCAGCCTTTGGAACTGTGAAAAATATGTTTCTATTATTTATAAATTACCCAGTCTAGGGTATTTTGTGATAGTGGCATAAAATAACTAAGACACTATCTATGGTGATGGAAATGAGAAAATAGTTGGCTCTGGGGCTGGACAGGAACTGACTATAAAGACCCATAAGAGAACTTTCCAGAATGAAGGAAATATTCTGTGTCTTGTTTTTGGAGGAAGCTACATGGGTGCACGCAATTGTGAAAACAAATTGAGCTGTTACTATCTGTATATTTTAATTATAACTCAATTAAAAAGTGATAGATTTTATGTGCCTCTTGATGAGTGCACACAGTCACTTATGAAATACTACCAACATTTTTGAATCTGAATCTGATCAAGCTCCTAGATCTAAACATCAATTTACAGGAAATAGAGGGAATAAAAAAAAACCTTATTTAATGACACCTTGGGGATGCGATCTGCAAAACTCAGACTGTGGGAATTATATTGTAGTACTTACACCAAGGTAGGGGCCCCTGTTCTGACCCTCCTCTGGCTGGACCCCTCTACTTAATATAGAATTAAACATTAATTTTAACCCCAAAGAAAAACACCATCAATACTTTTTTGTTTGTATCAACATATATTAATCATTAAAAAAGGAATCCTATTATGCATATTATTTTACAACTTATTTTTTAAAAACAGTGCATCTTGGGGCATCCTCTTTTGTCAACATAGAAGTCTACCTCATTCTTTTTAACATGGTATCAAATTGTATACGACAGTTTTTCTCAGCCTTTTAGACTTTTTTTCTTTTTTCTTTTTTGAGATGGAGTCTCACTTTGTCGCTCAGGCTGGAGTACAATGGCATGATCTTGGCTCACTGCAACCTCTACCTCCCAGGTTCAAGCGATTCTCCTGCCTTAGCCTCTTGAGAAGCTGGGATTACAGGTGCCTGCCAGCATGCCCGGCTAATTTTTGTATTGTTAGTACAGATGGGGTTTCACCATCTTGGCCAGGCTGGTCTTGAACTCATGACCTCATGATCCACCCACCTCAGCCTTTCAAAGTGTTGGGATTACAGGTGTGAGCCACTGCACCCAGCATAGACATTTTTTCTTAATTATTACTGTCCCATGAAGTTTTAATACCACATATATACTATATATCTGTTTATATGCTTTACACATATCTATGATTTAGAAAAAAAAATTTCCCTCAAAAATCAATTTTCACCTCCTGGTTGCAATATTGCCCCTCTGTGAATGCATGATATAGGTATTCATATCCTATTTCATAAGTGTAGTACTTTTGATATTCCAATACTGCATTACCCATATTTATGCATATATTTTGTTTCTGTAGGATATATTTCTAGAATTGAAAGGTTATATTGAAAGTTATTAATATTTAATTGATATTGCTAAAGATTGTGCCAATTATATGCCAATCAACATATATTGAGAATCTGGCTTCAGTTTTTACACTTAAGTCACAAATCCATGTGAAATTTATTCTGGAAATAAGGTAAAGATCTAATTATCTTTCTCCTCTAAATCTAGTTCAATGTACTTATATACTTCACTGGATTCATCTTTTTTTGATTTACCACATATTAAATTTGGTAAGTGCTCTTAGATATATTCAGGCTTTGAATTCTGTTCCACGACTGTTTGTTTATTCCATTACCATGCTATGTTTATTATTCTTGTTTTACACTTTATTATAATACAATTCCCCTTTATGAATTCTATTTTCTTGTTTTTTTTTTTTCATGTTTTCTCTCAATGAATTTTGGAGTAATTCTGTTTAGTCCCAAACAAGCAAACAAACAACAAAAACAGGCTCTTAAAATACTTTTGGGATTAATATTGGAATTTTACCAAATTTGTGGATTAACTTAGTGAGGCTGTAGAATGCTTTTAGAGTACATTACAGAGTTACATTTAAAATAAGACAGAGAAAAAAAGAAATAATGTTGATTTAATGATGTATACTTCTATATTAGAATACTTTGAGCTGTAAATGACAAAAATCAAGGTAAAACCCAAGGTTAAGTATAAAAGAGAGTTTATTGGCTCATTTAACAGATAAGTCCAGTGGTAAAACTAGTTTTCAGGCATGTCCGGATCTCTGGGTTCAAATAATGTCATCAGGATTTGGTCTCTCTGTCTTCCAGCTCAGCTTCTTTAGCCTCAATATTAGACAAACCTCCGTGTGGTAGCAAAGGTGGCCTGTCTGCTCTGTGTCTGTACGGTCTTTAGCACCTGCAGTATAACATCAGAGGGAGAGAAGCTTTTTTTTTTTTTTTTTTTTTGAGACGGAGTCTCGCTCTGTCGCCCAGGCTGGAGTGCAGTGGTGCAATCTCGGCTCACTGCAAGCTCCGCCTCCCGGGTTCACGCCATTCTCCTACCTCAGCCTCCCGAGTAGCTGGGACTACAGGCGCCCGCCACTGCGCCCGGCTAATTTTTTTCTATTTTTTAGTAGAGACGGGGTTTCACCGTGGTCTCGATCTCCTGACCTTGTGATCCGCCCGCCTCGGCCTCCCAAAGTGCTGGGATTACAGGCGTGAGCCACCGCGCCCGGCTTTTTTTTTTTTTTAAATAGTGTCAGCGGGCCGGGTGCGGTGGCTCACGCCTGTAATCCCAGCACTTTGGGAGGCTGAGGTGGGTGGATCACCTGAGGTCGGGAGTTGCAGACCAGCCTGACCAACATGGATTAACCCCGTCTTTACTAAAAATAAAAAATTAGCTGGGTGTGGTGGCACATGCCTATAATCTCAGCTACTTGGGAGGCTGAGGCAGGAGAATCACTTGAACCTGGGAGGCGGAGGTTGCGGTGACCTGAGATTGCGGTGAGCCGAGATTGCGCCATTGCACTCCAGCCTCGGCAACAAAAGTGAAACTCCGTCTCAAACAAAACAAAACAAAACAAAACAAAACAAAAATTAAATAAATAGTGCCAGCAAAAGTACCAATGATGGTTCTCATTGGTCAGGTCTGAATCAAGTGTAGGAATGGGGGCAGGGTGGGTAGTTGGGAATCAGTCCCACTTGAACCAGCTAAGGCTGGTGAGTGGTGGTTTCCTGAAAGGGTGGTTTCCTGAAAGGGATGTGGAGCAACCAAAAAATCAGGAATTATACACCATAATACCTCTTTATTTATTTATTATACATCATAATACCTATTTATTTATTTATTAGATGGAGTCTCGCTCTGTCGCCCAGGCTGGAGTACAGAGGTGTGATCTTGGCTTACTGCAACCTCTGCCTCCTGGGTTCAAGCAATTCTCCTGCCTCAGCCTCCCGAGTAGCTGAGATTACAGGCGCCCATCATCACACTCAGCTAATTTTTGTATTTTTAGTAGAGACAGGGTTTTAGCATGTTGGCCAGGCTGGTCTTGAACTCCTGACCTAAGCTGATTTGCCTGCCTTGGCCTCCCAAAGTGCTGGGATTACAGGTGTGAGCCACCACGCCCTGCTGATAATACCTGTTTAGAAAAAGAGGATTTAAAAGCAACATTAGGGAATATTACTAAGTTGAAGTTCTAATACTATTTTTTAGATTATGAATTTATTTTAGGGCTAAAGTGAAAAGAAACAAGGCCACTGGGCAGGAAAACATGATGATAGACATTAAAAAGTTACTTGTAATTGAACAATATTTGTTAGAATTATAATGCTTATTCTTAATGTTACTCTTCCTTCATTTCTTGATCTCATTACTACTTAGATTCTCCAAAACCTTGCTTCATAAATTTGTCCTGTTTTGCAGCTTAATCTTGCCTTCTATTTTTTTCCCCTGCTCCTAAGGAACCCCATTCCATACCTCCCTAAACAAATCAACAAGCCTCTCAATTCTACTGCTTTTTAAAGCTCCTCTTCTTATATTCATTGGCCAGTTGTTTAAAGTCATCAATGATTTCCTTAATCATCAAATCCAATGGCCTTTACCCTCCTTGATGGCTTGCTGTCTCTGTAGGATTTGACAATATTGACTGAACTTTCCTTCTTGAAACCTGGAATCTTAGTTCCTGTGAAACCCACTCTCCTGATGTTTCTCTTAGCTTTCTGATGACTTTTTCTCTGTTTACTTTGTTGGTTTTTCTTCCTCACCTTCTTTGTATGTGGGTGATTCTCAAGGTTCTGGCTTCAAACTGTTTCACTATTCACTCTTTTTTTTTGGCAGTTTCAAATACTTACTTTCAAAAGAAGGGTATACATCTTCTTCTTCTTCTTTTTTTTTTTTTTTAGATAGAGTCTTACTCTGCCCCCCAGGCTGGAGGGCAGTGGCTGCTTCCCCTGCTCAAGTGATTCTCTTGCCTCAGCCTCCCATGTAGCTGGGATTACAGGTATGCACCACCACACCCGGCTAATTTTTGTATTTTTGGTACAGACAGGGTTTTGTCATGTTGGCCAGGCTGGTCTCGAATTCCCGACCTCAAGCGATCCATGTACCTCAGCCTCTCAAAGTGCTGGGATTACAGGTGTGAGCCACCGCACCCAGCCTACATCTTCTATTTAACTGCTTCTGATCAGTTCCTCTCCTAACACCTGTGTGATCTAATCCTAACTGCCCACTATCTAGAAAGATGGAGCTTAACTTCTTAACTTCCTCTAAAAAGATCTTTCTCTTCTGAATCCCATGGTACTTTTTTGTTTTTAAATAGCACTACTTTAAAACTTGCATTAGCTGCTTACGTGTAAGACTTGTCTTACTTTCTGACCTATAAACTTGCTTTTTCTTTTTTTTTTTTTTTAAGGAGGTGGGACCCCTGCTCTATAAACTTCTTTAAGAAGATTTTCTTCTTTTTAAACTTTTATTTTAGGTTTGGGGGTACGCATGAAGGTTTGTTGTAAAGATTATTTCATCACCCACGTATTAAGCCTAGTACCCCATATTTTTTCTGCTCCTCTCCATGCTCCCACCCTCCACCCTCAAGTAGACCCCAGTGTTTCTTGTTCCCTTAAGATTTTCTAATTCAACTCTGCATCTCCTATACTGTAAAGCACTGTGTTTTGTATTTTTTCATTTGTTTATTCAACATACATAAGCACTGACTCTGTATTGTGCTAGGAGCTGGGTAAGTGGTTAAAAAAAACCGTGGTTTCTGCCCTCAGACAGTTTAGAGTCTCATGAAAATACATATTGTGATATATAATTAATAAAACTTTATTGAAAGAATGAATCTTACATCTTAAACTCCTTTTTCATCTTCTTTCCCCAAACTCCTGACCTACATTCCTGCACCCTTTTCCCTGATAAATCCCACAGATTTCTCAAACCCAACAGCTGAACTGGATTCATGTGCTATGGATACATATGAATAAGTTTGCCCCATGTTCAAGAAACTCGCAATCACCTTCTCTCCCCAAACCTTCTGCTGATTTTAGTATCAATGTTACTACCTCCTCCTTATTACCAAGGGGAAATCTTGGTATTCTTTTTGACTTCTTCCTCTTTCTTCATACTTAATTCTTTAATTCAAACAATTATCCCTCTTGTTGAGGTCCTTTCACCTATAGCAGAGGTTGAAAATTAGTGACTCATGAATTGTATCTAGTCAGTAGAGGTGTTTTGTTTTGTATAATATTATTGCAAATATGATTTTTCTGTTTCTCCTGAAAAATCAGAATATCTGGCAACACTGAATCCTTATTCTTGCAAGAACTGGCTGGAGTTTTAGATGGGACAGCTCAATCAAGTCTACCATTCTAATCTCTATCACTCCTTGCTTTTGTCACATTCAGTCCATTTCCTCACTTATGAAACTTTCTTAGTCCCTAATTTAGGCATTTGAGTTTGCCATCTCTGGCCTGTGTGATCATAGACTGTCAGTGGCGGAAGAGATATTAAAAGATCAACTCGTCTAATGGTCTTCTTCTTCCTCTCCCCACTCTTTAAGAGATGGAGAAAAGAGGTCTAAAGAGCTTACATTACCCAATCAATTTCATACAGCTAATGTGTAACAGGATTCTATAATATGCCATTAGACACCCCCCATATGGATCATGTGAAAGTTATAACTATATTTTCCCTTTGGTTTAGTTGCTAGGAACCTCAGAGCCCAATCTGTGGCACCCCTCTAGTAATTACATAGACCTTTTGGTATGAAGTTTTGGGGTATTAACAAACTCCTGGCTTTATTTTGTTTTCCATTTACCTTTGCCTCAGTTTCTCTTCCAATCGTTTTCTCCTATGATAGTGTGTAGTTTTTCCTCAAGCATACTCAATCTTTTGTGAACAAGGTGGGACATCAATACAGGTGTAAACTGTTCGGCTGTATTGTCTGGCTCCCAATTTCTTTCTTTCGCCTGTCATTCTCCTTCGGCTACTCACATTCTCTATTTTCCTTGACAGCCAAACTTCTTGAAAGAATTGTCTTCACATGCTGTGTCCACTTCATCCTGTCTTCTCAATTCGCTGTAAACAGATTTAAAGTCTTCAATGCCTTCTTTGTTGCTATGATATTGATACCAAAATTATATTGTATTCGCCCATATATGCAGGACACAAAATGGTTTCCCTAAATTATCTCAACTATGAAAAAATATGCAGAAAAAAATTAATAGGTAATGCATGAAAATTTTGTTACTTCTGATGACTGATGAGATTTATTTTCTTTTAAAAAGTTTTCCACAATTTTAAAAACAAGCGCATTAGAACATATCCCGATGTAAATTAGAAATTCTCAACTTACATTTTCTAAAAGGAGGCAGAAAACTAGAGAAGCGACAATGAGGAGCCACTGGGCCACACTTCATTTCACCTTAAGACAGACTCAGAGAAAAACAAGAGGGTGCGACTCAGATCCCCGGGGCCAGCGGCTGGGCCAAGGGGCACGACTGGATAACCGATTGTGAGGAAAATCTTAAGAGAGCCCTCACGACCCTTTAGCACATCCTAAAAGACCTCTGAACTTCTCTGCCTCTCCCGCTAACGGCTGCAAACCGCAGATAACGGTCAATAGCCTCCGGTTGTCCTGGTAACAGCCAGCAACGACAATCCCGCCTCCCTAACTCCTCCCAGAATACTGTGCGTCTTCTGCTTTACTTCCAGGTTCGGAGGACCGACTTCTTCCGGAAGTATCTGCCTGCCAGTCACCTGGCGTGTTCTGGCTGGGTGGCTTTGGTATACAGAGTGTGGCGTATTGTTGGGCAGGGTCCTGGGGACCCTTTTGTTCTTTTCCCCGTTTAACGGGACTGGAAAGCTAAGCAAAGGCTTTACTCTCAGGGAATTTTTTGTTGGTCGTTGATAGATGAATTGGACGTTAGTTTTTAAAATGTTTTGGTGGGGTTGGCAAATTTTGATTGCTGAGTGACAGTGGTGGGTAAAATTCATCTTAGAACTGTAGCAGGCTGTCTTAGTAGCCTTTAGATTAAATTGGTTTTAAGTGTTAGCAGGCAGTTTCAGCAGCCAGGCCTGTAGAGAATTATATTTTTCAAGTGATATTTGTGACCTGAATGTTTTCTCCCTCTGGCCTCTCCACTTTTTAATAGGTATGACAAAAATGGCCCGATTTATATGATCAACTTTCACAGCTGAAAGGTGGTAAACTCTTTACAATTATATGTAATTTATTTTTTACTGTGATAGATTTATAAAATTTTAAATAATTTAGTTCCCATAAAAAAGCAATTATTTTTGCTTTAGAAAATGAAGGCTGAAAAAACCCCCAAAACACAAAACCTCCAAATCCTACCCATTTAAAGACAACCAGTGTGAATACTTTGTAGGAATCTTCCAGACCCTTTCTATGAATTATAGTAAGTACAAATTCAAAATGGAATCATACTGTATATGCTACTTTGGAACTTAAAAAACTTTTTTTTTTTTTTTCCAGACAAAGTTTCACTGTGTTGCCCAGGCTGGAGTGTAGTGGCCTGATCTTGGCTTACAGCAGCCTCTCCGCCTCCTGGGCTCAAGCAATTCTCCTGCCTCAGTCTCCTGAGTAGCTGAGATTATAGGCGGTGCCACCACACTCAGCTAATTTTTCTATTTTTAGTAGAGATGAGGTTTCACCATGTTGGTCAGGCTAGTCTCAAACTCCTGATCCCAAGTGATCTGCCCGCCTCAGTCTCCCAAAGTGCTGGGATTACAAGCATGAGCCACCTGTGCCCAGCCTGAAAGTTTTTTTTTTTTTTTTCCCCCGAGCTGCTGTCTCGCTCTGTCGCCCAGGCTGGAGTGCAGTGGCACAATCCCAGCTCGCTGAGGCAGGAGAATCACTTGAACCTGGAAGGCGGAGGTTGCAGTGAGCCGGGATGGCGCCACTGCACTCCAGCCTGGGCAACAGAGCAAGACTCCGGCTCCAAAAAACCCAAAAAATTTTAATGAACATATTTTGTTTAAAAGAGACACTTAACATGGTTATGGTTATATATGTTCCATTATACCTCTTGTTGGATATTTAAACAATTGATGTCTTCCCCCACTCCTTTTTTTTTTTTTTTTTTTTTTTTTTGAGGAGGAGGAGGTGTCTTGCTGTATCACACAGGCTGGTCTTGAACTTCTGGGCTCAGGCAGTCCTCCTGCCTCAGCCTCCCAAATAGCTATGATTACATGCCACTGGCCTGGCCATTTTTGCTCTCAATTAGTGCTACAATGGAGAAATGAAAATTCTTATAGCTAAATCTTTGCCCTTGCTCTAATTTCTTTGTGGTAATTCTTTTTCTTTTTAAAACTCATTTGTATTTGCACTTCATTATCTCTTCCTTAATGCCTTTTTATTCCATACTGTATACAGATGAAGTTACACATGACATCCAAAGCCCACTTTATTTTTTAAAGTTGATTTTTTTGATTATAAAGGTAATATATGCTTATTGAGGAACATTAGAAAATTTCAGAAGAATGTAACAAGAAAATTCCAATACCTAGACCGCCATTGATACTGTGATATGATTTTTTCCCTCTGTTTCTTCAACAATCAGTATTGAAAGAGTGTTAGCTGATTTAGTAAGGAAATGTTGCAGCTTTTGGTTTGTACTTTTTTACTTATTCCTGTAGCTGAAGGGTGTTGCAAATAGTATCCAGAAATAAAGCCACATACCTACAACCAACTGATCTTAGACAATGACAACAAAAATAAATAATGAGAAAAAGACACTCTGTTTAATAAACGGTGCTAGACAAAGTGGATAGACATGCAGAGGAAGAAATTGGACCGCTTTCTTTCACCATATACCAAACTTAACTCAAAATGGATTAGAGTTAAATTTAAGACCTGAAACAATAAAAACCCTAGAAGAAAACCTAGGAAAAAGTCTTGTGGACACTGACCTAGGCAAAGAATTTATGAGCAAGTCTTCAAAAGCAAATGCAACAAAAACAAAAACAGACAAATGAGTTTCATTGTGCTAAAAAGCTTCTGCATAGTAAGATAAATAAATAGTCAAATAACCTACAGAATGGAAGAACATATTTACAAACTATGCATTCAACAAAGGACTAATATCCAGAATCTACAAGGAACTCAACCAGAAAAAACCAAATAATCCTATTCAAAAGTAGGCAAAGGACAGGAATAGACATTTCTCAAAAGAAGACATACAAGTGGCTAATAAACATGATAAAATTCTCAGCATCACTAATCATCAGAGAAATGCAGATTAAAACCACGGTGAGATACCATCTCACACCAGTCGGAATGACTATTATTAAAAAGTCAAAAAAACCTGATATTGATGAGAATTCAGAAAAAAGGGATTGCTTATACACTGTTGGTGGGAATGTAAATTAGTACAACCTCTGTGGAAACTCGTATGGAGATTTCTCAACTAAAAATAGAACTACCATTTGACCCAGCAATCTCACTACTGACTACCCAAAGGAAAACAAATTGTCACTGGGTGTGGTGGCTCGTGCTTGTAATCCTAGAGCTTTGGGAGGCTGAGGCAGGAGGATCACGTGATGACAGGAGTTTGAGACCAGCCTGAGCAATATAGCAAAAAACCTCCATCTCTGCAAAAAATTAAAAAGTTAACCAGACATGATGGTGCATGCCAGTGGTTCTAGCTACTCGAGAGACTGAGGTGGTAGGATTGCTTGACCCCAAGAGTTCAAGGCTGTGGTGAGCTATGATTACACCACTGCACACCAGCCTGGGTGACAGAGCAAGAACCTGTCTCTGAAAAAGAAAAAAAAAAAAAAAAAAAAAAAAAAGAAATTGTATGACAAAAAGACAAAGACATAGAACCAACCATCAACCTAAGTGTCCACCAACAGATGGTTAAATAAAATGTGGTATGCATACACCGTGGAATACTATGCAGCCATAAAAATAATGAAATGTATTTTGCAGCAACATGGATGGAGCTGGGGGCCATTATCCTAAGTGAAATAACTCAGAAGCAGAAAATCAAATACCACATGTTCTCACTTATAAGTGGAAGCTAAAGATTGGGTGCATGTGGACATACAGAGGGGAATAATAGACACTGGGGATTCCAAAAGTGGGGAGAGTGGGAGGGAAAGGGTGAGGGTTGAAAAATTAACTATTGGTTACAATGTTGACTGTTTGGGTGATGGGTACACTGAAGCCCAGACCTCACCACTACATAATATATCTGAATAATAAACCTACACATAAACCACCTGAATCTATGTATGAAAAAAGAAACCATGAAAAAAAATCTAAATAGTATTTCAAATGTGTGTAGGCTATGGTCCATTTCTAGGCATATCTAGCCTTCCTTCAGTATTCCACACTAATCACACTGAATTGTAATGGCTTAGTTTTCCATATGTGTATGTTTTAGTTCTATAACTGGATTGAAAGCTAGTTGTGTGGTGCTAGATAAATTATTGAATTTTGCTGAGCCCACTTTCTTTATCTGCAAATTAGAGATAATACTTTGCAGGGTTGTAGTGAGGATTAGAAATAGTGTATCCAAGGTGAGTTTAATTAAAAAGTAGTTACTTTGTTTTTCACTTCTGGCTTTAGCAGTCTATGTACATAGGAGGTGTTTGTATTTTTATAATATTCCAAATGAATGACTATACTAGCATCCCACCCAGTTTAGATATTTATTGAGCATATATGACACATAAACCACTGTTCATAACCGTAAAGGCCTGGTGAGCCTATATTATTCAGATATGTTTCTTACAGAAACCGCATGCTGCTTTTCATCTTTAGCAATTTTCTTAGTCATCTGTTTCCTCAGTCTCTTAACACCTTGCCTGACCCATTAGTAGGTGCTGAATAAATGTGTGAGCTGAGTGGAATAATTTAGTAGGAAAAGAGAAACACAAATTGGATAAAACCTGGCAGGCCACGATGAAAATGATTAACAGGTATAAAGTACTTTGTACATTGGGAGATCAGGAGACATTAATTTTGATTAAGGTATCTGGGAATGCCCTGTGGAGTAGGTAGATTTGACCTGGGCCCCAATAATAGGGGCTGAGGCAAGGAGCTTAAAGATGGAAATAACAATGTGAGTTAAGGCTGAGAGGTAGAAGTAAACACGGTGCGCTTTGTTATCAGGGAGTTATTGGTCGGGAGGAGTGCAGAAGAGTAGGGTAAGTGAATGGGTACAGAAGGGAAGAAAAAATGTCGTTGATCCTACATTTTGAGGATTTTGATGTGACTCGTCACTCTTTATAGTTTAAAAATGTTTCTGAAAAATACTGCTTTCAATATGGCCTGAGGCATCCTTGGGCTGAGTGGATCTGAGGGATGGTAGGGGTCGGGAAAGTGGCGGGCCAGCGATGACAACTAGCCTGTCCCTGAAGAAGGCCGGGAGTGGCAGGATGGCCAAGATCTTCGGCGGCACAAGAGCACTTAGTGGCCAATATTTGCCCCGAGGTGAGGAAGGAGTGTCTGCGAGGAGGCGGGACACCCTTAGCAGCTCAGCAGGCAGCAGGAAGCGGCAGAACAACGCTTGTAAAGGCCTGTCACCCACACTGGGTGGGCAGCAGCGAAGTCCTCGGCAGCCTGGGTGTTGCCTTTGAGGGAAGTCGCAAGACCCAGCTCCGCCCAACAGCATCTGGTCCCGCGCCCCTCTCCCCGCCCCTCTCCCCACCGCTCTCCCCGCCCCGAGCCCCTCGCCCCGCCCCTCGCCCCTCTCCCCGCCCCTCTCCCCGCCCCTCGCCCCTCTCCCCGCCCCTCTCCCCACCCCTCTCCCCGCCCCGAGTCCC